TGATAGGGTGCCAGATGGGGCTGCCGGACACGGCAAGACAGTGGAGAAGTGGGCAAGGACAGGACCCCCAGAGGGGTCCGCCAGGGAGACCGCAACTGGCCGACTAAGCGGCGTAAGCGTGGTGCGGTCTCGAAAGAAGGAGCGGGAAGCACCCGAGTCAAGGGTGAAGGTGTGTAAGGCCTGAGCCGACGTGGTACCTGAGAGAGCAGACTCACCAGCACCTGGGGCAGCAGACGCACTAGCACCTAGAGCAGCAGCCTCACCAGCACCTAGAGCAGTAGCCTCAATGCCCGGGTCAGGCGGAACACACAGGTAACAGTCACCCTCATCACTAGTAGGCAATGCAAACATGGATGTGAGGATAGCATCATAGTCAAGATATAGATATCTACCCGCAGCCTAAGTAGCTCCACCCAGTCGGGGAGCTCAGCCGCGTCGCCAAACTCCGTACGCCAGGCGTCGCTCAGACGGGCGAAGCAGCGGGAATCTGTGTGACCAAACGTCCCGCAAGGCTGACCAGTCCGAGCACCAGTGCGAATGACGTACGGACAGCGAGCAGTACCCCGTGACCCGCCACGCTGAGCGTACCACTCACGAAGCTGCTGGGGCGAAAGGACCGCGCACGGACGACGCTGCAGCTGCACCTGGCCACTACAAGCAGCTGCCGAACTACTCACTCCAGGACGACTCCCACTACGGCCACCCCGACAACCCCAAGTAGCGTACCACTCACGAAGCTGCTGGGGCGTGAGGGACTCACGCGGACGTCGCTGGAGCTGCATCTGGCCACCGCCAGGAGCAGCAGGAGCAGTGGTAGCCGCAGTAGCAGCAGCAGTAGCAATAGCAGTAGTCGCAGCGCGGCCACCCCTATAACCCCAACTAGCGTACCACTCACGAAGCTGTTGGGGGGTGAGGGACTCACGTGGACGGCGCTGGAGCTGCATCTGGCCACGCCAGGAGCAGCAGTAGCAGTAGAAAGAGCAGTAGCAGCAAGAGCAGCAGTAACAGCAGTACGGGCAGGGCAGTGCTCACCAGTGGCGAGAAGGGCAGGTGTACGACGGCGGCAACGGCGAGGCCGCTACCACTGTAGGGCGAGGGCTCCGCGGCAGCTGCAGGGGCGGCTGCTCCAGGGGCGGTAGTTGTAGGGGCGGCTGCTGCAGGGGCGGCTGCTCCAGGGGCGGCTGCTCCAGGGGCGGCTGCTGCAGGGGCGGCTGCTCTAGGGGCGGCTGCTGCAGAGGTGGCTGCTCCAGGGGCGGCTGCTGCAGTGGCGGCTGCTACAGGGGCGGCTGCTGCAGGGGCAGCTGCTCCTGGGGCGGCTGCTGCAGGGGTGGCTGCTCCAGGGGCGGCTGCTGCAGGGGCGGCTCCTCCAGGGGCGGCTGCTGCAGGGGCGGCTGCTCCAGGGGCGGCTACTGCAGGGGTGGCTCCAGGGGCGGCTGCTGCAGTGGCGGCTCCAGGGGCGGCTGCTGCAGTGGCGGCTGCTCCAGGGGCGGCTGCTGCAGTGGCGGCTGCTCCTGGGGCGGCTGCTTCAGGGGCGGCTGCTCCAGGGGCGGCTGCTGCAGGGGAGGTTGCTTCAGGGGCGGCTGCTGCAGTGGCGGCTGCTCCAGGGGCGGCTGCTGCAGGGGCGGCTGCTCCAGGGGCGGCTGCTGCAGTGGCGGCTGCTCCAGGGGCGGCTGCTGCAGTGGCGGCTGCTCCAGGGGCAGCTGCTGCAGTGGCGGCTGCTCCAGGGGCGGCTGCTGCAGGGGCGGCTGCTCCAGGGGCGGCTGCTGCAGTGGCGGCTGCTCCAGGGGCGGCTGCTGTAGTGGCGGCTGCTCCAGGGGCAGCTGCTGCAGTGGCGGCTGCTCCAGGGGCGGCTGCTGCAGGGGCGGCTGCTCCAGGGGCGGCTGCTTCAGGGGCGGCTGCTCCAGGGGCGGCTGCTTCAGGGGCGGTTGCTCCAGGGGCGGCTGCTGTAGTGGCGGCTGCTCCTGGGGCGGCTGCTGCAGTGGCGGCTGCTCTAGGGCGCGGGTTAGGGCAGGGCGCCGCGGCGGGCAGGGGTGACGCCACGCGGGTCCCGCAGGGGCGTCGCGACGCACAGGAGCCGCGCCTCGCGGGTCCCGCAGGGGCGTCGCGACGAGGCAGGGGCGACGCGGCGGGGCCGCGACTGGCGACGGGGCAGGGCCGCGACTGGCGACGGGGCGAGGCCGCGACTGGCGACGGGGCGGGGCCGCTACGGGCAGCGGGGCGGGGCCGCGAAGGGGCCGCGAAGGGAGCCGCGAGGGGGCCGCGAGGGGGCCGTGAAGGGGCCGCGAGGGGGCCGCGAGGGGGCCGTGAAGGTGCCGCGAAGGGGCCGTGAAGGGGCCGCGAAGGGGCCGTGAAGGGGCCGCGAAGGGGCCGCGAAGGTGCCGTGAAGGGGCCGCGAAGGGGCCGCGAAGGGGCCGTGAGGGGGCCGCGAAGGGGCCGCGAAGGTGCCGCGAAGGGGCCGTGAAGGGGCCGCGAAGGGGCCGCGAAGGGAGGCCGCGAAGGGGCCACGAGGGGCCTGAAGGGGCCGCGAAGGGCCGTGAGAGGGGCCGTGAGAGGCCATGAGAGGGGCCGCTACGGGGCCGTAGGGGAGCGCGACGGGCCACCAAGGGCAGGGGACGCGACGGGAGGGTAGGCACACGGGGCGCGACTCGGGCAGGGGCGAAGCGCGCTCCGGGCAGGAAAAAAAAATCGATATTCGGTGGGCCCTAGGAAACGTTCCCACTAGGGAACCTGCTCTATACCATGTGAAAGAACGAGGAATGAATGAACTAGCAAGCAGGTGGGTACAAGTAGGAAAACCGAAAAGTGTTGTACCCCATATTGTCTACCCCACTACAGCCTACACAGACTATAGCATATGAGTTTGACACCTACGTGTCAGGTGATGAAAGCTCGCGCAAGAAAAAGGCGGGTCAGTTGCAGCCTATTCCACCGCGCTAGCGAGCCTGCAGCAGGTTACCATGGATTTCGTTACGAGGTTACCTTCAAGCCCGAGGGGTAACAACGCAGTTATGGTCGTCGTTGACAGACTGACAAAAATGGCCCACTTCGTTGCGTGCAGGAAATCAATCTGAGCCGAAGAAACTGCTTGCGTGTTCATCGCGACCAGCGTTCGACTGCACGGGATACTAGCCGCGATAATTAGCGGCCGCGATACAAAGTTTACAAGCAACTTCTGGAAGAACCTCTGGGAGCAGTTCGGGACCCGGCTACAGTTCGGCTCGTCGTACCACCTCAAGACCGCCGGTCAGACGGAGTGGACGAAACTGACCATGGAGCAGCTGATGCCACGTGCGACGACCCGACAACTTGTGAGCAGCAATTGCTGCTGATCGAGTTCGCATACAACAATGCCACGTTAGCAACAACGCAGCATACCCCGTTTTACCTGAACTACGGGCAAAATCCAACAGTGCCCATGATGCCGAGTCCGGACAACCCAACACCACGCGCTCAACAATTCGCCGAGATACTGCAGGCTGCCCGCAATTAAAAAGGCCAACCTCACCGCGAAGAGAATTGCTGACCGCCACCCCGCCCGGTACGTACAAGTTAGGGGATTACATATTGCTCGACACACAGAACTTTAGACTGCCTATTGTACCGAAACTTCAACCGCGCTATTGTGAACCGTTCGAAATCAGCCCTATGATCACCCCAGTTACCGCCCATCTACTGTTGCCGACCGACTGGTACATCAGCCCATCATTCCACGTCAGCCTGCTTCACCCATCGCGGAAAAGACAAGGGCCAGAAGTGACAAAAATGTGACTTTTCCGTGATTTTCCCGTATACGGAATTTTGGGGTAAAAAGGCGATGGTTGTGAAGTACCGGTCCCAATGTCACTTCCAAAGTGACGAAAAGGTCACGGAAATGTCACGGAAAAGCTCCGTTTACGTCACATCCAAAGTGACTTCACGGTCACCGGCCGGTCACGTTCACGTCACACGGGGGTTATCTCATACGAAGGACCGTCAAATGACACAATTAGTTACAATCTTATAGCAACTCGCCATGTGGCAGGCATGGCGTTATCATTACACCCCGTAAGTTACAACACATTACTGTTCACCGCGCTTTGGGTCACAGTCCCATCCAACCAACTGCCTTCACATGGACGACCAGGATCACCCCGGAGTTGTATCCACACCCTTCGTGTACAGACTCCGCGTCCAATGCAGAAGCGCCACCTCTCGACCACTCTTGCCTCCCATTGGTCGAATCACTATCCATCCCCTTGACTCTACACTATGTGTACACTGCGGATGGCGTTGAAATATGACAATGTGTACGGCTGCAATCCCTTACATGATGACGAGACAAGTCAGCGACATCGACATCCGACCGTCCACGTAACCACGCATCGACGATACATCGCTGGCGACATCGCGAGTCGGATTCCTACATTGTCAACGTGTACTTACGTTTGTCCGTGGATAGAGACCCACGTGGACGTCCTACACATTGCATGGAGCCACCGATGCCGGCCCACTTGTCATGCCCCCAACCGTCCATGAGATCATTAGTCAACGGCACTCCTCGCTCCTATGTACGTGCATCCACGGCTCCTGCTGGTTTAGGGGTCGCCTCGCACAGCCCCACGATGAGATGGTTTGGACCGTCACAACCCGAATCGCGGTCTCATTCTAACCACATCCACTGGCTCACATCCGAATCGCATTAGTAATTGGTAACCCTACGCCACTGGCCGCATTTGTCTACGTCATCATATGTTCCGCGGAATGGTTGGCGGGTTATGTATACCCCTCCTCACGACCACACCTAATTTCTCGTACACCTATTGTTCCTTCGATTTTGAAAGCATTTGCCATTAATCCCTCTTACACGCATCGTATCCTAGCCAATACCCTTAATCAGACCCTTCTCAATCGGCACACGACCGTTCACAGACAACACCACACTATAAGCATTAAACATACGGTGCTCATCCACTTCTCGGCTCCGCGACGCTGACAAACATCACCGTTCGTGTTTCATCCGATTATGCCTGCGGCGTCCCGCGGCTGGCACTAGCTTCGGAGCTCACCGCGTCTGCAGCCGCTATGCCGTCCGCCGAGATGCGAAGACCATGGCGGCCCCATGCCCATGTATGGGACACCGCGTCATACTCGGGCCGGAACTCCACGATGGCCAGAGTAACAGCACCCTTGACGAGGACGTGCAGGCCGTCCACGATCTGCGCGTTGGAGCCCGCGGAGTTGGAGAAGCGACCTTGGCGCGCCTCCCAGTGCTTGATAGCATCTGTGACCTGCGCACGGCGAACCTCAAACGATGGCATATAAGGACACTCGTGCGGCTATCTTTAACATGTTAATGCGGCGGAATGTTGACGTACCACGTGCTCCAGCCATGCCACGTGGTAGAGCTTCATCGTAACGGTCCCGTTCACCATCCGTGGCTTGAATGCCGCCCGCGTGCATGCAGTAAACGCACAAGAGGCGAATGGCATCCCATTACGGTCGCAACTCCATCGCGACAGTGCCAGCTTTTCTGCCACGTAAAGCACACACCGCGTGCACAAAGATTAACGGTGAGCCAAAGAGGTACAATGAACTCGCGCCTTGCGGCACTTTCCCTTGCCGGATCCGTGCTTCCGACGCCTCTTCCTCTTAATATTGACGTCCTCATTGGGTTTCGCAAGGAACGCAGTCTCCAGCCTTGCAATCACATGTGCCGTGGCTTCATGGAGCTCCCGCATGCTCTGCAACTCCTCTCGCGTGACCGGTGTGTCATTTGGTGCACGTTCCGCGCCGGTGTCCTCCTCTTCCGCGTCGGCCTCAGCCTCGTTGTCTGCTTCCGCATCATCCTCGTCCTCGGTATGCACTGGGTTACGCCTGGGGAGAGCCTCATTGGGATCGTCGTCCGATGATGGCGCGGGTGATGCGTCAGGTTCCCCCTCCACTCGCGCAGACCCCTCGATAACCTCCTGAACGTGACGTTTACGCCTGCGGCCCGCCGTCCCGCCGGTTCCAGCCTCCTCGTCAACCTGCCGGCTGGACTGGGCAGACGACGAGCTACTCTCGGACGTGCTCCCATGCGACATACGCGAGTCCCCGCGAGTCCCATGAGAGGGTGTCACAACTGCATCTCACACGCGGTAGGCCAAAACGCATATTACAACGAGTACAAATCACAAGTAAGAAAACCCATGTAAAATTGTCACGCCGGCCGTGTTCACAAAGACGAACGACCAAGGCCATTAACAAAGGGTAACGCAGAGCCACTCACGTGGAGGCGAGGGTGGACCCCGCCTGCTGGTCATTGACACTTTTCGGAATATCCAGACGAGGCTTCTTCGTCACTTGACGCCTAACATTGCCAGGCAGAAGGTACGAGTTGCGCAGGTAGGCAGGTGGCTGTGACACGCGCTGACTCCTGCCCTCACGGGACGACACTGGTCCTAGTGTGAAACTGTCCATCGTCACCAAACTTGTGGGCAGGAATGAGACCATCGGATACAGTGTTCACTACTTACGCATTCAGTGACCCACCCTGGGCACGGCTGTGCCGTACCCCCCTTTCCACGTGGCACGCCCTTGTCGGCCAGACTGAGTTCGTCATCTGCCGGTTTTGCCCACATGGCACACCGGGGACGCAACGTTATCCACGACACTCGTTACAGAGTCGAGTCTATTAAGCTACCATGGTCGATCGTTGTAACAACATCTGCCCTACAATGGCAACACGCGTACATATCCTCCCTGTCATGCACAGATGATCTGAATTATGAAGCAAAGTATAAGGCGCAAATCATACAACTCCACAGGGCGTAATCCATACTATGACTTGTCTATTACACATGAGGAGGCAACGTCCTCTCACAATCACACACACTATTCACACATAGTATCATGATTCATATACACTTCTATGCACATAGAGATTGCCATCCATTATGTCATCAGCCACTTCTAGTGTCCACAGCCTCCACCTCATGTACCATCCTGTCATCTCCGTCGTCATCACCACTGCTATTGTTGGGTGAGCGAGAGCCAGTGTTCTCGAGGGGGAAGGGAGTACCAGGAGCAATGCCCAACTCTGCCATTGCTGACCTCCACTGACGCCACCTCCACCACATCCGTGCCTTGACAAGATGCCTCACGTCGTCACGAACACACCCGAGAAGGAATGCCTTCTCCACGTCAGATAACTTCTTTGTGTGCAGGATGTGGTCCTTGCGCCTGATCACGTATGCTGCCGCAGCATACGCATATGCCGCATCGTCCTCCACGGTATACGCACCCAGCCTGATCTGCTGACCAGTGCCAGGTCCGCACACCATCTTCACCCCCCACTTTCTGCCCCTTGGACTCACAGGAGCTGTTGGATGATCCATGGGTGTTCCACTCCTCTGGATGTTGGATGTTCCACTCCTCCTTCATGGGCTTGTCCTCTGTTGGTGACGGGTCCCTCTGAAAGGTAGATGCCCCATGGTTATGAGGAGTGGACGATGGCACCGGAAGAGGGCTGGGGGTAGGATGGATGGTGATGCCTAGCGTCCGCATCAATGCATCGTGATCCACGTGGTTCTTTGACGTGGACAGCGCCAGCAGAGGCGTCCCGTGGGTCTGTAGCTCGTGGGCCGCTCCACTTAACAGTTGATCCTCTGAAATGCCAAACGAACGTGCCAAACTCGTGACCGCCGCACACACCACGTAACCCCCGAGCTCCATCCGGGTTATCATGCCTGACTACTCAGGTCGGTACGAACTTCGTCCTCCTTGGGAAAGACAAGAGCACCATGTTCACCCAACTGTGGGAGAGGCTGCAAGGGAACCTCCACACCCTCCCCAAAGAGCTTGACAATAAGGTCACCTGTGGAGTGGAGTGACACCTCCTTGCGTAGCCGCCTACGGTAGGCGTGAGACTTCGCGCCGTAGAACGTCATCCAACACTTGAGGATTAAAAAGCCGCATGCGACCAGTGCGTGAAGGTACATGCACACATAGATCCCACAGTCGACAGCGTTTGACAGTGTCGGGATGTCTTCAGGCTGCCAGCAGACAGACAACCCGAGAACGTACTCGTTAGTGAGGGACAAACCAGACTGGGCCCGCATCGTAACAACGTTGGGAAATGCACATATATGCATGACGGTGACTTCGGCATACTTCAAGCTGTCCGCAGCCAGCTTCTGGTCCTCGGTGGGCAGCTGAGCCTTGTGTAGCATAAGCAACATCCTGCCAATCAGGTTATCCTAGTAGTTAGTTTGAATAAACATCATCAAACGAGCCAGGGAAAATATAATAGATGCACCACCCACTTCTTGACGCCCTCCATCACTTCCGGCTTATTGGTGTGCAGCTGTGCACTATCGTAATGCACCAGCTCCACGCTGCTCTCTGCAGTCTCGGATAGCTTCTTACTGACCATGACGCGCAGGTTGCTGGCTATCACAAGCGAGTAGTGGCCTCCGACACATGTAGACAGCGTGTATTTTAGGACGTGCGCATGTCATAATACGTGCACGGGAAACCGATTTTCTTCAAGTTGGCGAAATGTGGGGTTGACTTTGCTGAAAGGAACACTGTTGCGACTCGGACTCGGACACCTCATATCAGGGGTCTGATACGTGCGTTGCGCGTAAGGGCGTGTCCAGCGCGTACGTTTACAGCTCACCTCGCGCTAAAGTTACCACTTTTTCAAATTGTAACCACATTTTTACATCTTTTTTGGACACGAACACCTATGATACGTAAAACCAGTAACAGCCCACACGTGCGCCGAATCGTTAACATGACGCGAAACGCACGTAACAAACCTCAGAATCAGACTTGCACGCGTCCACGTTGCTACAGTGACGGCTCAGCGAAGTCAAGGCCGAATTTCGTGAGAATCTGAGGTTTTCGCGAAACTGAATCTTGCGAATATTTCTGGGAATCGAATTGCCACCCTTCTGGTTACAGATTTGTGCTGTCGCCACAGTCGCGCAACATGATGTTCGGCTTGTGCCGAGGGGCGAATTGTGTCTTTCCGTACATTTTTGGAAGCGAAAACACATGACCACTAGAAGACTGCGGATCACGATCTCGCGCTTATGATACTATTGCGACTTCACTTCGAGGATATTTCGCGAGACGTGGCAATGCACGTGTGTTGAACGCAGTCACTGCACTGCACGGTACTACAGTAGTCTGGGACTCCGACTCCGTCCGATTCTTTGCCACAGGCTGATTAGACGACGCGACTCATCAAGGTGACTCGTCAAAGCCGGGGTGACGTGGCGTGTCTTGGCACGAATGCTGATAATGCTCCGCCAATAGTACCGTTAGTAATTGCTCCGCTGATCATTGCCCCGCCGATCATTGCTCGCCTGTCCCACCCCCGCGAGTCGCGCGTCACATAGTATGTGCGGGTAAATATCTCGCGGGGATAATCTTTGAGGGGGGGCGGGGGGGGGGGGAGGAATAGATATCTCTTCTTTCCACCGCGGCCGACCCCGCCCCCCGTGCTTCCCCGCCCCCCGTGCTTCTCTCATGCAGAGAGCGTAGCGACGATTTGTGGATTGGGAGGCTGCACGGGAAACCAACAACGTAACTGGTTTAGGTGGCACATGCGGGCAATTCGAAATGGGAGAAAATGGATCTGCATACACCTCGGAAAGAAATGAACAAAATCGAGAAGAGAAGAAGCATAAACCGTGAAAATAGATGAAAGAGAAGATAAGAACAGGAGTGATGGGCGTTACATGATTCTGTATGCTTTCGATTTTCAGTATGCGGGATGTGTAGGTCAATGTGTTTAGCACACTCACCGGCGCTTTCCGCGCAGAACACGGCACTTCCGCTGCCGGGCAACGGGCTTTTCGTCGCTGCGTCCGTAGATAGACGGACGCTGAGTCCGAGGCGATTCGCGCGCAGAACGTCCTCCGCGTGAAGAGAGCAAGGTGAAGAGCTGTATATGGGACGGGACGTAGAAAAGGAGGGGACAGATGCAGGATGAGACGGTAGATGTGGTCAGATGTTAAAGGATTGATACTTCATTTACTAGTGTACTAGATACACGGACGTAAGACGTACGTTCTACGGTATACGCTTGCTGAGGGGACGGCAGAGGCACGAGCTAGGTTGAAATGGAACGATAACCTCAGAAAGTTGTGTGAACAATGAGATGGGCAACTAGCGGTGTAGGGAGAGATACACACTTAGTGTGAGAGATGCTTCTAGAGCTCCAAAGTGTGATGATGTGTCGTAACAGATGCCGTAGATTTCTGGTGTAGGTTAGATCAGACCAGTAATTGGTCAGTAAAAAATCACGAGGTTGTTTTAGCTCAATTCTGGTTACCTGAGCTGTGGTCCGGGGAAGCCACGTCACGTACCCAGAATCTGAACACTTAATTTGATTGGTTATGACATGGAACTGTATGCCAGCTGCCAGTTTCGATTCTGGGTT